TTAATAAATATTTTTAATTATTAATAACAATAAATTATTAAGCTTAAATGCAGATGTTAATTTGTTAGTTTTGGGTTCTGAAGTTTGAACAAATGCTGCCTTACATTTTCAGGTTTTGAGGAACTTCACACCTTGCCCAAAATAACTTTAACTTTTGAGAAATAGGGACTTCATTCTGCAAAGAGAAGCACAAAATTGTGTGAAATTAAATGTCTGCAGGAGGCCAGTAGTATGGAGAGAAAATTATTTTGGAACACTTAGCTTGCCTTGTATGCAGTAAACTATCCTTCTTCCTTTTTTAATTGAAAATCTTCCTGTATAGACAGAAGATGGAAGACAGTACAGTTAGTTTTCATAATCACAAAGCTGGTATCTGGTCAGTTTGGAGATAGGTTACACAATTGCATTTGGAATAAATGCAGTAAAACTCCAGCCTTTTACCAGCTGGCCCTAACCTGGGTTCAGTCATCCATGTTTAGGGCCTGGAGTAAGAGAGATGATGGCAGGCTCCAAATCCCACTTACCATCTCAGTGTGTCCCCTCCAGTAATTTCTAGAAAATTGCTGAGAAGACAACATCTCCCTTCCTGGACAGTCATGGCTTCACCTGTGTGCTGTGCCAGGCGCTGTAGGTTTGCAGGTAACCCTGAGAGGGCGTCACCCGGAGAAAGGGTGGGGACCGACAGTGTCAAACATCCTTAAAACTAAGCAAGTCTGTCTGTGAAAGGTCTTGCTCACAAAGATCTTGGCAAGTCTCCTTAGGTTCTCTGTAAGTGGAGATTCTTAAATCTATTTTAATGGGGAACAAGGCAGAAGTTTAAAAAAAAAAAAAAGGATAAAATAGTTTCAAAGCCTCACAAGTGTTCAAGAGTGGTGATTGACAACAGTTGCTGAATGTTTTAATGGAGAAGCTGACTTACAAGTTTCCTGTGTCTGCCTTGAAGTTTGTTTCAGCAGAGCTGAGAACTCAATGTGTTCTGGGGCTATGGTAAACCAGTTCACCAAATTAATAATAGGCATTAAATGCCATTTTTTTTGAGGATTATTTGTAACTTACAGATGCAGATTACTGAAGTTCTTTAAGGCCCTCCAAGCTGTTGTGTCTGTGTAGTTGAAAAGGCAGCATACAGCAGTGGGAAAGTGGAAGGTGCTGGGATAGAGCTTCATTAGATCTTCACCTGCCTGAATTGCAGAGGCAGTGTCCTTTGCAGTGAGGCTTATTGCCGTGGTGATTCGGATTCTTTTCTCTTTCTTCTTTTCCTGCCGGCTTCCTCTGTAGTGAAGAGAGACAAGTTTAAGTTAGCCTTTTTGAATACTCCTGTGTTTTTCCTCTTATGCATAGTAGTCGCAGTGAAGCATTAGTTAATAAAAATAAATGTAATCCTCGCCATAAAATCGTGTGCACTTTTTTTGGCAACACTTTTTTATCATAATGGAAACTATAAATATAGTTATCCATGCTGTTACAAAGTCCTTCCATCTCCTACACGCTTCAGAATTTGAAGGTTTGAGCATTTCTCCCCACAAGCATATATGCAGCGTGTCTGGAAACCATCACAGGCTGCAATTCAAAAGGGCTGATTGTTATTTCAGAGAAAAGTAGCGTAAAATCTGGTAGGGAGCCTACTGTTATGCGAGGTCGCAGTGTAACTTCCAGAGCAAAGCAGCTTCATGATCACTTGACCTTACAGCTACACCTGTGCTAATAGATTAAACGTGCCTGAGATGTTCTCCAGTGCTGTGGCCAACGAGTGCTGTTCCATCTGGGATGCTGCAGTTTGCAGAAGGTGGCTGTATGTGTCTTGCACCCTGGTGATGGTTTCAGGACTGCATGAACTCCAGAACGGCACCTGAGAAGTGTTTGGGAATGCACTAACTGGCCCAGGGCGAGTCGTGCCAGGGTTAGTTCTGGCAATCTGCCGGTGCAGGCAATCAAGTCTTAGCGCCCAGGAATGTATCCTGGCACTGCCGAATGCACTAGTGCAGACATAGCCTCTGGTGCCACACGCTTTGAATAAATAATTACTTGAGCAAGTTTAAGATCTCTGATTATATGGTGTTCCTTGTTAACAAAAAATTCACTGTTACGCTCTTAGAGAAGTGCTTGCCTTGTTCAAAATCCGCACGATAGCAATGTGTTTTAGGGTTTGAAGCTCTTGCTGTTCCGTTGAAAACCACACTTGTTTGTATGTGGATCAGTACATTGAACATGCAGATAAAAATTGGCCTTTGCCTTGGAAATCACTGTTTAGCATAATTTTTCTTCCTCTGCAGTATGCACACCAGTGGGACTTTCACGGATGTTTACAGTAATGGGTCAGTTACTGGTGAAGCCAACAGTAAGTCATGCACAAATCTGCCCTCCTGTGCTATCTGTTAGAAGGTAGAATGCCATTAGAGTATTTTCTTTTAGAATGCTTCTACTTCTGCATAATTCTCTTTTCAATTCATTGGAGTTTCTACAGTCAATATTTGTGTACTTGTTTAAAATTTTTCGTATAGCATGAAAGCTTGTTGTTTTTTTTTAAATAGTATAATCTTCCTCTGATTTTCAATTTAATAATATTAATAATGCTTGAGTCTGACCACACCCATTAGGAATAACCTTTTGTTTTCAATCATGCTGTTAAAATATGCAAAAATATATATTTTACAGGTAACGTGGCATATTAAAATATGTATGGCTTGTAAAAACTATATTAATATTTTTTGCCGGTATTGCCTGCTATGTCTGTTTTGCAAATGCTAGAAAAAGATACAAGACCAAAACTAAGGCTGGATAACAAGAAGATACCTGGGGCTACATTTAGATGGGTGAAATTTAGGCAGCTGGCATCTTGAAGAACTTCTTGTGCATAGTTGTTCTGTTATACTGAACGCTGTGTGGGAAGGAAGGGAGAAGTTTGTACCTTATACGAGTGCTCTGGTGACTTTGCTGTCATGTTCCCTAGTTTGTATTTACTAAAATTTGGGTGCACTTAAGTCTTGCAGACCTTTTCATTCGATAAATCAGCCCTGAAAATACAAAGAAAATACACTGTTGTGCTATCTGTAAGCTTTAAACTCAGAGCACCTGATAATAACTTAGACGTCGTTTATTTGGTTTTAGCTTCCAACAGCAATTTATAATTGCTTGAAATACAGGCTTATGTGAAAAGTTGCTTTTTAATATACTTTTTTAAAATCTGCCATTATTTTTATTTAAATCAAATTGATGGTGAAGGTAGATACCAATTGAATATAGCTCAGATGTACTGTCCTTTCCATTGTTCCCTTTTTAGACTGAAACTGAGCATAAGAACTTGAACCTGGAAGGAAAACTTGACAGAAAGTTTGCTTTCAGTAAAGAAATAGATCTATAACAGAATGGATTTTTTTTGGTGGAGTTCTTATTTGTATCAGTATTGCGAAATTGTAAACTATGTATTTAAAGTAGTAGAACAAAATTAACCTGACTAGTGCAGTTAGAAAAACAAGTGACTCTGATAGTAAGTTCATGTTTGTTTCCTGCTGCAGATCCTTGAAGACCTAGATGAGCAGATGTACATCATCACTTTAGAGGAGGAAGCAATTCAGAGGAAGCTTAACGGTATGCTTGTTCTTTCACTGCTTCAGATACAGTATTTAGAGTGGTTCTAGCCATGAGTACTGATTTCACTGTTACGTAGTCTCTTCTCTCAAAATAAAAACTTTCAGCATCTTAATGTGTAACAGGCATTACAGGCTTATGTTTCATTGCTCACTGGTGTTCAAGATTTGGCTCTTCTGTGTTTGCTTTGATTTTGCTTTTAACATGTACATCAACTCTGGTATGAGAATATTCTGAGGCTGAGAAAGCAAATTGAGTAGTTGACCAGACCCACCACCCTCACTGCAAAACAGTGAGGATTGGTAAATGACTGTACTTTAGCCTGGTCTGAAGAACAGTGAACTTACATTAGCAAGAGAGTCAACTTCCTACATTATGAGTTTAATTCTTTATTTGGAGGATTTTTTTCTGTTTCAGTTCATTATTATTTAGAATCTTAGATAATAATTCAGTAAAGATCAGAGCAGTCCTTTATATTCTAGAAGCTATGTGGTGAATTATTAATTTTAATAGTTCTATTAATGAATAATAATACAAATGATTTAGATTTCTTGTATTTGGTATTAGAGTTTTGTACTACTTGTTAAAGTGTTTCTGTTTTTGAGGTAAAAGAGTGAGTATTGCAGCACTGCAGGCACAATTACAACAAATGTATCAATTCTACAAGGCTGGAAATCACGTTGTAGAAATTCACTTCTGAATTGCTTTTAACTGCCTGGGTAAGCCATCCATCTAGAATTTATACAGGTGCTTCAGGTTGGAAACCCCAGAATATTGATGTCATGACACATCCATTGGTGTGTTGACTTATGACTTATTTTAGCCTTAGCATTCTTAATTTCCTGGCTTTCTCTCTTACTCCTCAGTTTTCTATCATACTTCTCAGTCTTTTCTTCTTGCAAGTTCTACTAAGTCTCCTATTGGAAGTTCCTTGGTCAGGAAAGGTACCTTTGATAACAGTTGATCGTGGTGATTGATTTATTCCAGCATTTACAATTTGTGGAGTACCGACTTCTTTGTGCTAAAATCAGCCACAGTTTCAGTCTAAAAGTAACGTTTGCCTTTGCTGTTCTGGAGGCTTAGGTTTTTATCCTGACACATGTATATATACGTGCTTGCATACAGACATGCAGAAGGGGCACGCAGTGAGTGTCTTTGAAGCTGTGATGGGGTAATTATAATTGTTCTGTGTGTTTGATGTTAGCTAGCAACTGTAAAATGTTTGTTTCTGAATATTTTATGTTGTCATGGTGATTGTGCTTATGTACAAGAGAAGCTGTACAGGAAAATGATCCAACAGTGATTCAGGTATCTATTAGAAGGAGCACAGAGTGGTTTCCACTATTCAGGTAAAGAATGGGATTATATCGTGATGATCGTCTGCTGTGTTTCTGCGTAGAAGTCTGTGCAACAGTTGTTTGTAATGCAATTTAGTAACATCGCTCATGAGGTGGACCTAGTCTGTTCGTAGGCATCTACTAGCTGGATCTGGATTTAGGATGTGTGCGGGTGGCTCCACTAACCACTGCCTGACAGGCTGGGTTCTCTTGCGGCGAATTGGTTAGTGTTCAGCCCACCTGTGGTCCCAGAGCTCTCGGCAGCCTGCTCGCGAGAGGTGAAAGATGTGGGGCTTAAATGTACTTTGAGAGGAAGGGGAACTGAATTCTGTTTCACACGCTGAGGGGATGGTGCTGACACCTGGGCCTGAAGGAATGCTTGAAAGCCCGTAGTTTGGTGGACAGAGAAAATTAAAATGCTGAAGCAGAAAAATAAATAAAAATCTAAACTTGGATATAGCGTGTGTGGGGGGCGCAGTGACAAGATACTCTGCAAGACTTTTGTGAGTAACTAATAAGTAATTTTCAGTTTAGTCCTCATTTATGTTGCAAGCATGGAAAGCTTCATCTTCTCGGCCAGAAGTCTTTCTAATAAAAATTATGCTGGAAGAACAGGTGCTGTTTTTGCCAGAACTATGAAGACTTGTGCTTATCACATTTATTGCAATTTTAAAAATGTGTACAAATAGGAGCGTGGTCCTAATTACATCGGTAAATTTAGTGCGGTGATGTTAGAAGCTGTAATCTGTGATTTAATGGGCAAATTGTGTAAGTATTTCTGCCGCTGCACGGGGGCAGATGTATTAGGCTACACAACTCCTGTGCCATGACTGTTGCAGCTATTCCACAGCTGTGGTAGTGCAAATATATGTGCTTAAGTAATCCTGCTTGGGGAGTTTCGCAGTGAAGTATTGTGACATATATACTCCATTTATATAACCAAAGAGTTAAATTTTCATTAAAAATGAAGAGAATCAGAGCACATGCTTAAGTGGTACCTGATGATGGTCAGTGCTAATTTTTTATTATTTTTTTTCCTTTGTAGAACAATTGCTGTTGCATTCCTAGGAATTGCTGTTGCATTCCTAGGAATTGCTGTTCCCACTGAACAGCCTGATAAAGCCTGTTTTCAGAGGGAAAAAAGTGTAGTGGTGTGAGCTGGTGCCATTCTGTTGTGGCAGTGGTGCAATTGATAAGAATATTCTGTAAAGCTCTTCTATTTGAAAATAACTCTAACTGTGAAACTGCATATCTTCTTTATGGAAACTGATTTTCTTCCTTCTCAGATGTCTGCAGTCTATAACCGAAAATTGGAGGAGGAGGGAGGGGAAAGTTTGATCATGTTATCTACCCTAGTATTTTTATCTGTTCAAGAGATACTGGGCTTTGGGAAAATGTTTGTTTCCAGCGTATTATATTTCAGTACCCACATAACTCCTACAGTCGAAGAATAAAGCTGGGACTTTTTTATATTAAAAGAAAAAAGTTGCCTTCAGCTATTAGTTTTCCTGAATCCAAAGAGACGGGTGGGGTAGGATCAAAAATGCTTGCTTGATCAAAGTTATTGGCTCTGAAGGTATCCTTACCTATGTAAGAAAGATGAAAGGTGTTGTTTTTATTGCACGCTAGTAACAGTGTAATTTTGAACTAATTGGTGTTGAACTGCCAATCACCTAGGGGGAATGCAAATAGATACTCTTACAATTTCCTTTGAGGTACTGAAATCTTATGTCGGGGCTGGAAGAAAAACAGAATAATACCGTTAAATTGACCTTAAATGAGCTGCTTTGTGGCTTTCTTGGAGAATCCCTTCTAACTTTTCATTGCTAGTCCAAACAAGTCTTGTCTACCAATTTGATTTATTGGCTAGACAGCGCTGACATTGAACTTTGTGCATGTTTGAAATAAAGCTAATGTTATAGAGCTTTTAAGAATTTAGCTGCATCCTTTTCAAATACTCTTTTGACTGATCTGAAACTTTGCCTTCCCCTCTCATAAAATATCCCTTTGTACAGCAACCTGTTGTTTCCTACTATTTTTAAGGAGGAACTAGAGCAGCACTTAAATATGATTCATATTTTCTACCAAAGTGTCTCCTAGGGACCTAAAGCAATCATGATGACTTTATTGGAGAGACTCCCATGAGTATCAGTATTTTGAGCTCTGGATTTTTATGTTGGGGGGACCATGCAACATATATCTTGAACAAAGCTTTTCCTCAGAGACCCCTGAATCAATTATGAAGCAGAAGAAAATGTCAGGTGCTAACTTCAAGTATTCTTACTTTTTCAGCTGCTTCCATTAAAGTTCTTGAGACTTTTTCCACTGAGTTCTATAGCCATTCTTTTTCTTAACTCAGAGTAATTAGTCATTCCATGGAACAGATATTTTGGGCTTTTAATTTTTTTTTTTGTAGGAAGTACAAAAACTTATTTGTATAATGATAATGAGATTTATTTTTTTAAAAAAAAATCCATCTTTTTTAACATCCCCCCATATTACAACTACTTATCTGAAAAACACTGAGAAATTGAACTGACGTTCATATTGCAGATACTTCAAGTGAACAGAAGTTCTTACAAAAGAGCGTTAGTAGGTCTAACTGGTTAGTCCTGGGATTTGAGGTTTTTGTATATTTGAAGCCCTGTAAATATTACCACATACACATTATGTTACTGATATCAAAGATAACTTCTGTGCTACGCCTAAACATTTATGAGCTATATATGAAAATGTGTGTGAAAAAGGCATGCGATTGAACAGTTAAAAGTTAATTGTTGAAACAGTTGGATATATCTGATAATTTAACTGCATTGAACAAATATTCTGAAATAAAAAAACTGTAAAAATGTTTTAAAAAGTCCAAGAAATGCTCTTGTGTATCTTGGTTTTCAGATAGGACCTCACTAGGCTGGCATATGGAGAATGTGGGGGCTGGATGGGATGAGAAATTTACCTTCTTATCTTGTGCTCTGATTGCTGGGAGGATGAGCAGACATCAGAAAACAAGGAAATAGGCAGACTGGACTATAAAGTAGCATTAATGTGCCAGCAGCTTAAGTGCTATTTAGTTTTAGTAGGTAAATGATCAAGATATGAGATAAAAGCCTGGACAAGACTGTTAATCTCATAGGAATTTATTAGAGAGTGTTAAAAAAAATAAAAAATAGAAGGTATCTGGAACATGGTGCTGTTACAGGTCAGCTCACAATCAAGGGTGAGGCTGAGGGTAGGGAATGGGCAACAGGTGAATGGTGTCAGTGTAAATTAAGAAGGAAACACAAAGAACTTTGGGTCAGTTAAGAGCTTGAACTGTCACTGCCACAGAGTATTTTGCCAAATCAGTTTGGATTGGAATAAACAAGGACAATATGAGCCCTCTTAACTTATTTTCAGGTGAGATTATTCAGAAATAAAAGGGTTGGAAGTGGGGCAAAGGTGAGTGGAGAGTGTTTCTGTCCCAGGAAGAATATCTATCTATCCCGGGAAGAATATTTCCAGTTTGTGATTGCAAAGCGTAAAAGCTACAGTAGCAGTAATGAGATTAGAACTGACAGCAGATCTCTGCTCCACATGCCAGAGCTGTATCATTGCCTGAACACTGCGCGGTGTTTGTAGAGGAACTGGAACCCAGGAGAGAAACCACAGCGTGGCTGGAAGTGGGTGGGAGGTTGAAGAGAAAAAGGAGAGAGAGTGAAAATGGGCTGGGTTCCCTAGAGCCCGTGCAGGGGCAGGAGGAAGAGTTGCCAAGCAACTTTTAGGCAGAAAACTAGCAAGGGAGAGAGGAATTAATCTTACAGTTATTAGTTTTGAGCTGGTCTAGAGGAAAAGGTTTGAGTTGTTGTGTGACAGCTGTGCGTATGCTGTGAGAAGGAAAGTGAAGGACTCTGGTCTCACGGGTGGCTGCGGGGAAGATCTGACTGTGGTTGTCAGAGGGAGCTCTGTGACACGGAGACTGACCAAGTCAGGCAAACCGATAGGAGCAGAAGATCTGTCAACAAGCGGGTTAGCGATATGGAGGGAGTGCTCAGTAAAAAGGACTGGGGAGAGGAAGGAATGGAAGCTGAAACTGGGGTTCCAGCCAGCAGCTTACTTGGTTCGGAGGCAAAGGTCCACTTTGTCTCTAGGTTGCTAAATAATAATGCCTGTGAAGGGCATCCAGAGACTCTTTACATCTTGGTACATGAATCACATCGAGATGCAAGGATGAGGCATTTGAGCCATCCTGTGTCAGGCTGCCACACCGTTCCGGGGTTTTGGACCTGTGCGACAGTTCTCTTCTTGCAGGAGCTGGTCAACAGAACAGGCAGAGACCACAGAAGGTCACACTATGAAACCTCTGTGTGTTGAACTCTCCTGGTTAGACAGAAAATTCGTGACTAAGCCTCTGGTTTTTTGAGAGGTAGTTGAAGTGTCTCAAACACCTGCAGTTTAAAGCCACAAGTGTTAATGTGATGCTTCTTAAATCTGAATTGTCATGGTGTGTCTCACAGTACTATAGTAAGTCTTATCCCAAAGAAAGTACTCTCTCTTCTGTTTGAAAAGGTGTATCCTCCGTGGTGGAATACCAGACGGCAGAGTTGGAACGGGAGCTTGAAAAAGTGAAAAGCAGGAAAATGAATCTAGGTAATAAACTTATTTTTTTCCCTGTGAATTGCAGTTTAGTGGTAAGAAAAAGACATTGGCTTTTTTTTTTTTTTTTTGGACACACTAATGATGTCCAGTTAGTCTTTTCTTTCTTGCCTTATAAGAGGAAAATATTGTTTAAATAACTGAAATTCGCTTCTTTCCATTTACATCATACTAAAATATGCATGTACACAGCAGTCAATATATTGTACACTTTGCAGAACGGCTTCCTGCCAGGGAAAAACGTATTGTGGTGGAACATGCCTGTAAACAAGAAAGAAGAATCTGCTTTTCTCTGTCTCCTCACCCTTTGTCTACAGAGACTTCGTATTTTTGGCATTGCTTTGTACAGGTCTTCAGGGTTTTTATGAACTGGTTGGTGTTGGCTCAAGATAAGATTACTTTTGTTACCTGTGGTTATAATGAAGACTTTTATATAGCTGAATTACTTTTTTTTTTTTTACTTGTTTTATTCTAAGGCAATCCATGGTATTAAGCTTCTGTTTTTTCTCTTCTGAACAGAACGGCGGAAAAAAGCTTCTGCTTGGGAAAGGAATTTAGTCTATCCAGCTGTTATGATATTGCTCCTTATTGAGACAGTAAGAATTTTTACTATTTTTTTTTCTTTTTCCCTAGCAAAAAGCATGGAGAAATCTGTGGTCATTTGGGGTCATAGTTTTAAAATTTTTGAGTGATGGGTGTTTAAGGAACAAACTTGATACTCTTTTTCTTGACCATTTAAAAAGAAGTTAACATTATGGAATCAGGTGGGGATGAATGTATGTATTTTAAAAATGTGGAGTACTTCTAAATAACAAGACTATTTCTATTCCTTTGTAGTCCATCTCAGTCCTCTTAGTTGCTCTCAACATTCTTTACCTGTTGGTTGATGAAACTGCAATGCCAAAGGGATCAGGGGTAAAGTAAACTTCCCTTATGATTTTTCTTACTTTAGAAAGATTTGGAGCCCCTTACAAAGTGCAAGGGAGAAATTCTGCTTTAGTAATGTTGAAACTAATGAGCCTCAGACTTGACTTTGCTTCTAGGTTTTGGTCCTGTGTGCACATAAACATTTATTGTGTGTCATGTTACAGTGAGTTCTTAATAAAACTAGTCTAGAATCTTTAGGAAGATACAGGGATTCAGTCAAATAAATCGGTAATCTGGAGTTTGCAATTTCAGAAACTATGTTTAAAAAAAAGTATGAAAACCTTGTCCTACTTCGTCTTCCTCTTAGAAGACATGGCAGTTTTTTCTCCTTAATTTTAAAAATACTTCAAGAAAGTGAAGAGCAGCACTTTGAATAATAGTGTCTTTAATCATTAGGGTTTTTTTTTTTTTTTTATTCACTTGGTAATGCTTTCCCCCGTGTAAAGCTGTATGTGAGCTTGTGGAGCTGTCAAAGGTGGCGATGGCTGTTCTGCCTGTGCTATTGCAAACAACTGGAGGTTTCTTCTTTTAAGACCTCTTATTTTAGCTTCCAAAGTAATGGAGTGTGTATAAAATTCATCATGGTGGATGCACCGTGCATAAAGTGTGAACCTTTACACCTTCTGAGTAATAGATTTCACTCAGGTTTGAAAGCTGTCTGATGCCATTGCATGGGATGGGAGAACATCAGAATGTCCTTTAAATACTGAATTGAGAAAAGGCTGTGTTTCATGTAAAATGTCAGTTTTTTTGGTCCTGGCAAATGTTAACTTTATGAACAGTTGCATGTATGTTATTAAATTATGCAAAGTATTTTTTCTTCTTGTAGGGGCCTGGAATAGGAAATGCTTCCCTGTCCACCTTCGGTTTTGTGGGAGCAGCGCTTGAAATCATTTTGATTTTGTATCCTTTCTTTAAGAATTCTGTCTGTTAGCAAGTACTCTGTCTAGTTTTCTGGGACACTGGTAATTTACTAAGACACTTGCCTGGAAAGAAGAAAGAGAGAGGTCAGTCCTTCTCGAGCACTTGAAATGTTTTTGTTTAGTTTTATTTCTTTGGTTCTTAAGACTTGTAGGAGACTGCTAAGGATTTGAGTGGAACTTGCATTCCTTGGAGGTTCCTTTTTCCTGAATTCTCACAGCTATCTTATGGTATCCTCTGTCGTCGGCTTCTACAGTCTTCGTTTTTTTGAAAATTTCACTCCCAGGAAGGATGACACAACTATGACAAAGGTAAAGTAAAGTCTGTGCTGGTGAGGGCCCCTTCTCTCTTCCTTGCCACCCAAGACAAACTGACTCTTTTCGTTAGTAATTGCCCTGAATGGCTTATTTGCAGCGATCAGTATTTGTTTGTAAGCTGCGTAAACACAAACTGGAAGATTTTCAAAATGCTGAATGAGTGGGAAAAAGGATGTGCTCTGTTTAGTTTGGATGGCATCCATTCACTTGTAAAAAGCCGGGAACAGCCGAGCTTGTTAACTGGCTATAGAAAAGCCAGTGAAAGAACTTTTTTCAAAGGAAAAGTTTTCCTAATGAGTAACTTTGATTGTGCTAACTGTACTTCAGGGAGCTTGTTTGAAATCTGAAGAACCTGGTGGCTAGAAGTAATACAGACTTAAGTAATTCAGATTTGAATAATTAAACTAAGACTGAGGAGGTCTGTTCAGCAACATTTTGCACTCTGAGGCCAATTTCACTTTCTGCAGTTTGGTGCTGGCTTCAGAATGACAAATGCTGTTACCTAGTGTGGAGGGACATGCTTGGGTTTTTGGCAAAAATATTCCCACAGCTGACAAGGGCAGGTGATCACTAACCAAGAAACAGATTTTTTTTTTATTTGTTCATTGCTTGTTTTTTTGGGTTTTATCTTTATCAATTACTTTAAAAAATATCTTTACCATAAATTGTCGGAAGTGAGAAAGTAGGTAAACACATGGAATGGGTATAGTAGATAGGTAGTAGGGAGTTGGAAAGTTCTTAACGTTTTCTATTGATCATTTACAGTTTACTAGGAACAGTATAGAAGTAAATAGTGAGTGCATAAATGTCTATGTGCTTTTGAGTTTTCTGGGTTTGTGTTTTTTTTTTTTTCTTCTTTTTTATTTTTTTGATTGTGGTAGAATTAGAGCTCAAGAAAGTGATCCCGTGTGAGAGAAAGTTTCAGTTACTCTTTATAAAGGCTTCACAAAAACTAGGGTAAAATCTAACAGCTGTGATTTTTTTCATAATGTTTAAAGTAGTCAACAGGCATTCAGTTGAAATGAAGCTCTTGTAATTTTTAAAACAATGCTAATCCTGCAAGCAATTACATACAGAGCTTAAACTGATGTATCAGTCATCTATTCTAAGCCCATGGAATGGTTCTTTTTATAAAAGTTTGCAGGAATTAATTAAACAGTTGACACTTTGCAACATGGTAATTTTGAATCTAACACTTTGATTAAAAGCAAATGATTGCATATTGGATTTTTTTTTTTTTAAAATCTCATCGCTTGGATCATCATTTTATGTAACACCCTATGGAGAAGTGTGACAGGAGTAAGGCAGACTAACAAGCTGTTGCTGTAAATTGCTTTAGGTTCAGTTTGAAGAATGTAACTTCCAGGAATTCTTTTGCATCTTGACCCCTTTGTTTTGTTTGTTTGGGTTGTTTTTAAAATGCTTTTTATCGCTTTTCGAACAGATCATTGGGAACTGTGTCTCAATCTTGGTGCTGAGTTCTGCTTTGCCAGTGATGTCAAGGACGTTGGGTAAGTGCAGCGAAAAGTATGAAACGTAAATAAAGGATGTTTAATTCAGTTGAAAAAGAAAGAAAAAAAAGGAAGAAAGAGAAGAAAAGAAGGAAGAAAGAGGAGAAAAAAAAAGGAAAAAACAGCCAGTAGCTGTGCCTTTCATAGTATGTATTTAATTTGTCACCACTTTCAATAGGAGTATGTATATGCGGCCTTTTCTACACCAATGTGAACATAAGTTCTACATATGTGATCTGCAGAAAATACATTCTAAAAAAAATGCTATATAATATTTAGAGACTATAGTGTTTTGTAAAGGTAGGTTAGATTTTAAACTTAAGGAAAGAGATGTTGAGAAGAATAGATATGGAGACTGCTTGTTCAGGGCAGTATAAAATGATTTCTTATTCACTGTGAAACTACAGGGCTCAGTTGTTGAAAAAAAATGTTTAGGGTATTAAATTTGAGATAATATTGGGCACAAATGTCTTTGAAAACCAGTTAATATCTCTTCACTTAAGTACGTTATCAGCAATTAAAACAGGCTACATTCATGTTCCCTAAAATAATCTGCTTGCGTTCTTTGTTACTTCAGTTTTCAAATATAAAACAATCGGAATCCGGTGTAGTGGAGCCGAGATTCTGATTTTCTTGTTAAGAACTGGCAGCAGAATTTGAAGTGGAAAACGTATTTTAACCAGTTGGAAAGGCAAGATCTTTTGTATCTTCACTTTGTTTAATTAGGTAATCTTCAGTTTGAATTCTTGAAGTCAGATTGCAAGGCTATTACATGTTGAAATAGTGCAGAATACTTGCAGCTAATATGAATTTGATTGGGAACATGAAACGGAACAGAGCAAAAATCTTCACCTCAGGCTGTACAAGTCTTAAGTAGAAGCTTCAGAGTTTAGGCTCAGGCCTGCAGAGCAGTAATGTGTGCCCAGTAATTCTGTAGCTGATTTTCTTTTCAACCCAGAATACTGTCAAATCAAGAGGAGTTAATGTTTTTCTGTAAATTATACTGTGTATTTTCCTGCTCTGTATCTGCAGATGATGAGTTTTACTAGATTTACTAGGCCGTGTCTATAGCAAAAAAAACCCCCAAGCCTGTAAAATGTTTTAGAGAGTTGAATCTTAAAGTACACATTATAGAGCTCATATTTTAAAAATCTGTAGTACAACTTCACAAAAATGCAGAAGAATAAGTCGAGTATTTAAAGCGGTGCAGTTTTAAAATATAGGCAGTGTGATAAACATCTAAGAAGTAAAACATTTCTAGCACTTAAAGCAAGGTGGTATATTGAAAAATTTGTGGTTTAGAATAGGATTTTAACATTAGTATTGTATCCACTCAGTTACTGCATTCATCAGTTATTACAAAAAAAGCAACCATTGTTAATGATCTAGGAGATTAACAGTTGATAATGATAAATGGATTCTGTGGAAGTAAGTATACATGCTGGGTGCATTGTTGTTTCACAGGAAACAGATTAATGGTAAAACTCGCTTTAAAAAAAAAAGAGAAAGCCTAACAAATGAGATTCCTGGATAGTTTGCCATAGAGATAAATAAAAGAAGAAAAAAGATGGAACAATTAACACACAGCTAACAAATGCACAGTCACAGCTGTCCAAACAGGATTAATAGAGTGTGTTAGGGTACAGTGAGTCACGTGGGGCTTTGCAAAAATATCAACATGTGTTGCACTACATGCTACTGCCCTGTGGCACTGAATAGATGAAAAGAAATAAATATGTTAAGCAGATTCCTGGTCTTTTCACTTTATTAAAAAAGCAAGTCTCTAGACTATACAGAAAAGACAAGACCTTATCATTATGGGAAAGGTAAAAAACCCAGAAGATGTGTAATACATGTACTGACCTTTTTTGAGTTTTAAGACTGGAAATAGAATTTTTTACATGTTTCATAGCATTCTCATTAGATATGCATGTGGTGGGTGTCTCTAATCTGTCATTCTTTTGGAGCTCCAGGAAAAGTTTTTACTAAAAGAAGTTATTTTACTAAACTAAGTTAACTCATTTTTTTCCACAACTTTTCAGCCTTTTAGTAGCCTTTCAGAAATGTTTCCCACCAGCACCATGTTGCAAACCAGTGAGAGACCGATTGGGAACAGGGCACTTAATAGTCAAGAATACAGAAAGAAAGAATTGCAAATACGATGAAATTTTCTAATATATAAAAGCTAAAATAAATAAATTCTACTCTGGAGTGTTATAGTTTAAGTAAATAGTGATTGGAAAGTTATTTGAAGCCTATGTATGTACAGTCTAAACATGGTATATATTTATTTTTAGCCTGAATAATTATTTAATAGTCCATGTGGCAAATTGTCGCCAATTTTCTCGGATATATATTTGTGTCCACTAGAGATGCAGCTTTCTGTTCAGTTACTTTCAGTCGTGGGAATTTTTCCTCTGTGGGCTGAGTAGAAACTTCTGTAAGAAAGAAACCAAAAACTTTTAAACTTTTTTTTCTCCTGCAAATTTACAAAGCGATACTGTATCAGATCTTTTTGGATGAGCAGTGGCTTTTTAATTTGTAAGAGGAAAATGAATGTAATTTATGGACAATTTTTTTCCCACCTACTCGAACAGAAGTGTCAGGCCTAACTTTTGTTTGTCCTTGTAACGCCTGTTCCACTGCTAGCTATTCTCCTGAACCTCTTTGTGTCAAGCAGTATTATTGCTTTCCCAGAGAACTCTTCCCTCGGTGCTTTACCCATTTTGTTGCTTTTCATTTAAAGGTCTGGAAGCCTGTATGCTCAAACCTACCTGACTTGCTCAGTTTTCCTGTAGCTTTATAGTTTGGCTAAAACACTGCTTCTCTGAAAATGCAACTCCATGTTTATTGTCCCTCACCTGTTCACTGGTTGATTCAGCCAGCAAGCTGCTTCTTTCTATGCTAAGATCTTCTGTGCTTTTTTGATATTTCTCTCTACCTCTGTTGCTATTTTGATCAGCTTCAGTGGCTTTTTTGCTTTTGAAACTTCTCTTCATCTTGGCACATTTTTCTTAGGTGCCAAATTTGATTCCCCTATTTTTTGTGTAAAGGATGGCTGCTGAGTACAAGAAGTGTGCGTATCTTTTAGTGTTGTGATAGCTGGCTCTAAGTCAGATACAACGAGATTTCTAAGTGCCAGGTTTACCCTTTAAAGGAAGGTAGCTGACCCTTAATTCTGCCTCTCTCCTTTTGTTATCACTGTTGTAGTCATGGTTCTTAAAAGCCCCTAAACCATTTCAAAAGAAGATTATAGAAAACTCGCTTCCAGGATGTTCAGAGCCAAGGTTATTTTTTGACTGCCTAGTTTTCTGGCCCTGTTTTAGTTCTGGGGTGAGGTAAGCTCCCTTCCTTTGCACGGTTGGTCTCAACTGTGAGCGCGTGCATCGCTGTGACATCTGGGCCCAAAAGCTTTTTGGGAATACGACAACTCGTTGAGCCTCAGCAGTTGCTTGAGTATCACCTCTGCATTCTGCCTTTCATTCAGTGCAGTCCTCAATGCAGACCTGGCAAAGGAACAACCGGTGGTTCTCCCTCCTCTCTTTCTGGGATGGGCCCTGCAGCTTGTAGACGCTTCTGCGCTTTGGAAAAATCCTACTTGCCGAGCGTTAGTGATTGACCGGCCTTTGATCAGCACAAAGCCCGAGTGTCAGTGTCGGCAGGTCCACCGTGAAGAAGACCTGTCAGCACCGTCTTTCAGCCAGGCTCTTTTCCTCCTGTGGGAATGCTCTGTGGCAGCAGTGGTGGGGAGAGCTCGGAGGAAAACTGGAGTTGGAAAAGCATCTTTGAACTTTGTTTTCAAAAGCCGTGGCTCTTGGAAAACTCTTACAAAGGCTTAGTGTTTGCTGTAATATGTTGTGGCTCTTGTGGAAAGGCTTCTTGCTACCCACGTCTTTTAATAAGAAAGCCCGCAGTGCATTTCATCCTTTTCTGGAATAGATAAGGATTTTGAAGAAACAGACACTTCAAGCAGTTTTCATACTTATACTGATTTTTATTTTTTTTTACTGGTTATAAGCGTTGAAGTTATAAAAGCAAAATTCTTATCTAGAACGGACAGTTTACTTCGACTCACACTTTTCGGTCATTTTACTAGGGAACTTAAGAAACATTTTGATATCTGAATCTTACAGTGAAGTAGAATGTCCTTGGGAGCAATCTTGCATGTCAAACCATGTGTCTTATAGCATATGTGAACAAATTTTCCTTCCATATGTAAAAAGTAATAGAATTAATTTTTTGTGTTTCTTAAAAAAATTTAATCAAGATTTTGATGCACATCTTAAATGCAATTTTAACAGGAATCACCAGATTTGATCTGCTTGGAGACTTCGGGAGGTTTAACTGGCTGGGAAACTTCTATATTGTGTTATCGTACAACCTGCTCTTTGCTATCATGACAACGTTGTGTCTCGTCAGAAAATTCACTTCTGCTGTACGAGAGGAGCTCCTGAAGGCATTAGGTAACACTGCTGAAAACTTAGTTTATGCTTGAATGTTTTCTTTCTCCAGTGTTGGTACTCACAGAAACTTTTTTTTTTTTTGTGGAAATGTCTCTAAGTTGAGAATGTGTAGCTTTGTGTTGTATTTTGAAAAGTTGAGAGCTAGGGTACAGTGTTGATCTTAATGATACCCCTGCATACTTACTGATCTGCAGTTAGATTTTCAGCCTTTAGAGAGCACAGAAACATTCTTATTGCTGCGGGCTAATTATGCTGAAATAAAGCTTCTGACTTGTGCATCAGTTAGCTTTGCTGCTTTTTGTTTAAAACAAGTTATTAATTTCCCTAAAAACAGTTTAATGGAAGTCTTAGCTGCTTTGTTGTGATGCTTTTTTATGTTTCTGCTTCCATACTTGTCCATTGTAATGGACTTTTCTCACTCACAACTGAGGGAGAAGTAATTCTTACGGGTGCTAGAATGTTAGTTCTGGCCTTCAGCAAATACAAAGTCTGTAATCACGAAGTAGAATTGGGTTTGTCTGTATTCTTTTTAACACCTGTTTGTGTGGAATGTGGGAGAATCTCGATTTTTCCTTATTATGAAATGTTTTGCAGGATTAGATAAGCTTCATCTATCAAACAATCCAAGAGACTCCGAGACAAAGCCGTCTGCGAATGGGCATCAGAAAACACTGTGATTAACAATCACCTGCCATCAGCAGCGCTGAAAACATCAA